AGTGAAACTAGCCAGTCCTCAAAGCTTGGTGCATACCCTTTCCATATATTCACACTCTTAAGATCCAGAATTGTAAACTGCAGTTGGGATTATTTTTCCTATAGTGCTTAACTTGAACGAGTGGAGAGTGGATCACAGATCCCTTTGAAAATCTGATGGAAAGTTACGAGTTCTCTCCCCAGAGAAATGAACATAATAAGCACACACACACAAAATGTTGCATAAGAGCCACGGCACTCAAGTTCACATGAGGCCATTGGAAAGTGCAGGCATGGTGAACTCAATCAGCTAATGCTATCTCCACCTTGAGCTAGCTTCACTCATTATGAGCTAGGGACTCCAAGATGATTTCTAAGTCATTTTCATGAGGTGGTTTCATCTATGCCAGTCAGAACTGACCCCCAGATTTTTTTTGGAAGGATGAGGATTTCAAAGACGTTCAAGAGGTTCCCTCCAATCACAGCCTCCCTCTAGTAATCCTGTGTTCCTCTCCCAAAATACAGTCAGGCTGTGAATCAAAACCATGCCTCTGTGAAGCCAGGCTGCCTATTTTTATCCAGTTCATCTTCGGAAATGTGCTGCTACTTCTCTGATTACTGTTCTAGTCATGCAGGAGGCACCCGAGGCTCAGGGATAAAGACCAATCAAGCCTTTGAAAGACAAGCTCCAGTCCTCCTACAGTGGAGATGGTTACACTTTACCATGAACATGAGCAGCACAGCATCTGCTTAGGGAAATAGTGATGCGACAGCAAAACACTGAAAACTCCGAAAAGGCACAAAATTAAAATCCTGGGGCAAGAAAAGATCATCGTCAAGTACAACGTCCTTTTTTTTTTTAACTTTTGCTTACACACCGGAGACCTGCCACCTCCAGCAGGTCTAGTTAGAAAGACAGCCAGGGCTGCCACTGCACAAGGAGAGCATACACTCTGTGCCCTGCATGAATGCACAGACCAGGAGGTGAATGAGGCTAAAATTCAGCCTGGAGCCAGTAACACCTGCAGAATCTGCTTAAGAGGGGCACCTTGCTCTACTTCTCACAAGGCACCAGAGTTTGGCAGGTGGCCCTGAAGACATCTACCATTCTCTAGTCTAACCTGTTTGTACTGAATTAAACTGTCCTTCTTGCCATCTAATCTGGTTTACAGTCCATGCCATACCGCAGATGCTCTCAAACTTTATCAAGCATCAGAATCACCCGGAGGGCTTATTGAAACACAGATTGCTGGCCTGTACCCTAGTGTATCTGACTCTGTGGGTCTGGGGTAGGGTCTGAGAATCTGAATTTCTAATGAGTAACCAGTGGGTGCTGATGTTGCTGGTCCAGGGGCTTCACTCCCAGAACCAGGCCATAAGCTACAGGCAGGAGTTTTTTTTTGTTGTTGTTGGTTTGGTTTTACTTTGGACCTTTTCCATGTTTACTAATGACAGCATCACTGAGCTTGTATAGACCAAAGAAAAAGAAGCAACTTCAGGTACCCCAAACTGAAGGGCTATCCTGGTAGACATTTGGCTTTGTAACAGTGACATACACCCATTCACCCGAGAAGCCCATAGTCCCCAGCATTACCTTGGATAAGGGGCTGAGAAGATACTGCCCTGTGGGCAGGCCCATTTCCATTCAATTGCCTTGAGTGTCTGCATCTGGGTAATGAAGGAGCCACTGTGTTGCTGGCAAAAGGCTCAGCTGGGGGATGATGCCAGCAGTAATTTATATGAGATGGATGGGGTGGTTCTCAGATCCTGTGCTGAGTGAAAACCCTGCTTGTTTTGGTTGGGGCTAGGACTGTGTACACAGAGGGCGGAGATCTTCTCTGGGGAGCCCGAGGCCCCTGCTGGTCTGCATCCCGTAAACCACAAGCTGTTTTTCCGCACTCAGATACAGAACAGGCTTTTTGTCAATAGACTCCTTGAGTTCTGTCTCCACCTAAGCCATCTAAGGTATTGGGTTGGCCAAAAAGTTCATTTGGTTTTTTTCCATAAGATGGTTCTAGTAGTGCTTAGTTGTTTTTAATTTCACTCGAAACAATTTTGTTAGATTGTATTATGACAGCTATCACATCAGTGCGCATTAAAAAAAAACTTACCAAGATTGGTGAATTTTTGTGTGTACCATTTTAATATTGAAGATGGAAGAAAACATGCAATGTTTTTGGCATAATATGCTTTATTATTTTAAGAAAGGTAAAAATGCAACTGAAATGCAAAAGCCTTGTGCAATATATGGAGAAGGTGCTGTGACCAAATGAATGTGCTGAAAGTGGTTTACAAAGTTTCATGCTGGAGATTTCTTGCTGGACTATGCTCCATAGTCAGGTAGACCAGTTGAAGTTGATCGTGATCAAATTGAGACATTAACTGAGAACAATCAACATTACACCACGTGGGAGAGCTGACATACTCAAAATATCCAAACCAATAAAGTTATTGGTGAAAATGAAAAATGTGTCTCTTATTTTATGGAAAAAAACCATACAGACTTTTCGGCCAACCCAGTAAATAGGTAGGTGTTCTCTGTGAGGTCTCTAGGACTGGAGACCTCCAGGTTCCTTTGACGCATTATTCTAGCTTTGGGCCTTTGTAATAGTTTGAGATTTTTCTTTTTTTGGACTAAAAGTATTGAAGTCTCTTCCTTACGCCAGGCTTGGCTTGCCGAGTGGGTCCCTATCCTTCATACTCCAGCAGTTCACTTACTAGCGACCCACCCACCATTTTTTCTCTTTCTAGATCCGGCCTCTGCTTGAACCGTTCTTCCTGACCAACAGGCTTGTAGTGGCTTGTCCTCTTGGTCAGGACCCAACTACCCTGTGCAATGCTGTTTCCTAACAGTCCGTGTGGGCATTCTAGCACTAGAGAGAAGTCTGCTAGACTGCCCCGTGTCTTCTCGGTCCTCAGAGTGGCAGGTATTTGGCCCTGCAGGTCTCTCTTCACTAGTCAAACTTCTAATCGGTTTGAGCCTATTATTCTTTGAGTCTCCTTTTGCTATTTTCTAAGTGTAAGGAAACCAGGAGCTTGGAGGAGTCCAAGCTGGGACAGACCAGTCCTTAACCTATTTTGGGGGTCTGTGCTCCCTCTAAGAGTCTGAGTAAAGCTCCCTGGGTGGGGCAGGGACAATCAGAAATGTTGGTTTAATGTCAGGGGCAGGCTTTTTCGCCATCTTGAATCCTGCAGTGCCTGCCAGGAACAGAACTTCTGCAACAACAAATATGTCTGGAAGGCTGTGGTCCAAGGCCATTTTTGCTGGCTATAAACGGGGTCTCCGGAACCAGAGGGAGTACACAGCTCTTCTTAAAATTGAAGGTGTTTATGCTCGAGATGAAACTGAATTCTATCTAGGAAAAAGATGCGCTTATGTGTACAAAGCAAAGAACAACACAGTGACTCCTGGTGGTAAACCAAACAAAACCAGAGTAATCTGGGGAAAGGTAACTCGTGCTTATGGAAACAGTGGTATGGTTCGTGCTAAATTCCGAAGCAACCTCCCCGCTAAGGCCATTGGACACAGAATCCGTGTAATGCTGTACCCCTCCAGGATTTAAACTTACTGATAAATAACAACCCTGACTATGTGGCTTGTTTTGGGGCCCTCTGGCAAAGCAAAGGATTCCGGGTTGGGGGACATGGTTGGGTTGCAGGTTCAGTTCCTGGTCAAGATGCAAAGGAGCCAACTAATGAATGTTTCTCTCACACATCTATGGTTCTCATCTTTTTCTCCCTCTCCCCCCTTCAAATAAGTAAATAAAATCTATTTTAAAGAGTAAATAAAAAAAAATATCAGGGGCAGTAATCACAGGAGACCTTCCCTCTGCCTGCCTCACGAAGCACAGCCACAGGCAGGTCTCAGGGAGGCAGCACGACCGACCGACCGTGTGGCGGGGCAGGCCCCTCGCTGTGTGAGCAGCATGCGGGGGAGGGTTGGGTGTCAAGACAGTGGTGAGGTTTCCACAGAATCTGTTCCAGGAAGACCCATTTGTTCTTCAGAAGATGCTGATCTGGGAAAAATTGCAAAATATAAAAAGCCGGTGGCCTACAGAACCACGTTTCTAAAAAAAATGTGGCTCAGAAATAGCTAACGACATTACTAACCACCACTTACTGTCTTTGCCCATTCAGTCCAACCTATTTTCTACTTTCAATTCGATACCTTCTGTTCAGAAGAGGAAGGGAACTGGTGAAACGAGGACAGAAAAGCCCCCAAATGCAATTGAGGTGACACTCAGAACAAATTTAGTGTGACTTCAAATAAGGCTGAGGAGAAGGGCATTTCATTAGGTAATCGGCTCTAACCCAAGTAGCCAATTAGGTCTGTTTGCTTCTATTTATAGTCAAGGGCACTAGCCGGGGAGGACTGATCCGGGGAATGCAGATTCACATAGACAAAGCGATGGTGCTGAGCACCTGGAGAGGGTGGTCCACCCACCGTGGGATGACACAAACGCTTTCATTTACTGGAAATGTGCAGAACTTGTTTAACTCTTCCCAAATCATGTAAAAAAAAAAAAAAGAGAGAGAAGTAAAAAGGCCAAAACAATAGTCTCAGGATTAAGGGGGCACCTTTGCCTTTGCCCTTGAGTTCTTACAGAATCCTTGTTTTGGTTGACGGAGGGTTTCAAGTGATCTCTGAATCAAAGGATGGCTTTTATTTGATATGATGGCTTGAGACAGCTTTCATCTTGAAGTTTGGTATAAATTAGGATGGGATTGAAACCCATCCAACAGAGATTTATGGAGTCCTGTATGCAAGTCAAGAATGCAAACATCAAACATCCTGAGGTCCTACTTAGTAAACAGCTAAGTACTAGAGCTATTTTAGACCAAGCTTCTCTCATTACATTTTTCTTCATTATGTTCCATGAACAGTGCTATTTCCAATGCAGGATGCAGTAGCCCTGCCTTCGTTCTTGCTTTTCTAAGTAGTGTAGGAAGCTAGATGGACTGAAATCCCAAGTCAGCCTGTTATGAAATTGTTCTACAAGTTATCCGGGGAAGTTGACTTACCATACCACTCATCAACCCATGCAAAGGCCTGTCTATGTCCAATCAGCAGAATATCTCGGACAACCTACAACAGGAAAAGAAGGATGTTGAAATAATACCATGTTTAATGAAAACTATCAGGAACATAGATCGTTCCCAATTCTAATTACAAATCTCTCCATCCCTCTGTCCCTATGGGATGACAATTGCACAGATAGTGCACCTGTTTACCCTCAGCCCTTTGCGTGGCGTGCAAGCCCTTGGTGTAAATTAATGTCCATCTTACTTGAAGGTTGGGCTGGAGGTGTGCACAAACGACTTGGCAGTCTCAGCAATGATCGGAATGAATCTCCAGGCTAATCACCTTGAAGTTTTTCCTTTTGTTTGTCTTTGCATAAAACAAGTTCTACTTTTCACTTGTAGAAGGGTGTGTCTCACTGGTGCCAGGGGGTCATAAATGTTAGAAGTCAGGAACCTTTTCTGGGCACCAAGTCACTTCTCAGTAAAGAGCACTTAACGGTCTTGCTTCTCTGGTGAAGTATCTTAAATATTGGTTAGTTTTCTTTAAATGACTGAGGGGTGGGATACCAGATGAGCAAATACCTTTCTAGGCTTGACTTTCCAGGCTGTCACGAAACAGAAGCGGGGAAGAAGCACATGCAGTCAACTATGACTGTAAGAGATGGAAGAAGAGACCCGAACTAGAACAGAACACGGTAGCAGTGAGAAGCCTGACTGAGGACAAAAGGAATGAGACTATTTCTGATGGTGTCGCATGATGACAACAGTGGACAAAGAAAACATTTATAGATATAGTTTGTGTATGTGTAACCCTGTTCATGTGCTTTTATTTCATGGTACTCTTTTATTTTGGTCCTCCGTAAATACGCCTTTTTACTTTTCTTGGATACTCACACAACATTCCTTCCTTCCTATCAAACAAATCAATTGTCAAAAATCTCTCATGCAAGGTTCCAGCATGTATCAATAAATGAAGGATTTTAATTTGGTGATTTTGCAGAGACGAGGGAAGCATTTATAGTAAAGTGTTTATTAGCCCAGGACTCTGGCTATCTAGTGAGGCTTAAGGAGGAAACACATCAAGAAAATAAGAAACAACACGAGGCTGCATGCACTTGAGTGCTGAGTGTGTCAAATTCATGGAAATCAAAAGAACAGCATCGAGGCATCAGTAAATATACTCTATTACATTAAGCACAACACAGCTGTCTGCTTGGAAACAAGGATTCAATAATGTGCTAATGGCTCGCTTTCCAACATTTTTTCCCCTCAACTGTGAAAAGATTCTTAAAAAACAAAGGTGTTTAGAGAAAGGCGCCCATGCAAATGCTAGCCTCGGAAACTCATTAGCAACTCATGGGCCAGAGCAGGTGTGCTGTGGGGGTGTCGACAACACTTCATTATATTTGGAAACGGACAATGGGGATGCCTATGACTACAGCGTAATTGTTACCAGTACTTTAAAGAAAGAGATTCTCAAAGCTAGTCAGTCACCCGTGAGAAAAGAAACACAATGAGCCTTGTGGCAATCTAAATATGCTTTGTAGGAGAAGGAAATAATAAAATGCACTATGGGAGTGGCCCTAGTAAGAGATGATCTGTGGTTAAAAAAAAAGGGGGGCAGGGGAATGTAGGAAGTCAAGGAAGGCAGAGCCTGAGACAGACTTAGAACTGAGGCTGGAAAATATTTACTCTGACCATCTGTCCCTGCTAAACAGTTGGACGCAGAAGGACAACAGGAGGTCCCAGGACTTGATTTCTCTGTGTCTCACTCAGCTCCCACCTCTGGGTGGGCAGCATGGCTCTGGAGCTCAGCAGAAGATCGGCACATTTCTCTGTTCCAGAGTCTGCTATTATCATGAGCCCAAGTTCATCTATTTCTTGGAGCTAAATTCAAGATTTATACATTTTATTGCTAACTGGCAGCCCTATTTTATTGTCAGTTGCCCCCTCTCCCCATAGACAAATACATCTAAGTAACAAAAAGTTCAGCACATTAAGGTTAAATTCCAATGCCTCCAAAAGAATTTCAGAAGGCTATTTTTTAATCAGTTTTTAAGTGGAAAAATAAACAGATATCCAGCCTATGTGGAATGCAGAGACAACTTGGGTAGAATTTATTTTTATGGAACTGGAAGGAGTTACAAAGGGCAGTACTCAACACTGCAAATTTTTTTTTCCTATGAGGTCAGAAGTCATGTTAGAAACCCCTAACAAACTTAAATAATTACCAAGTGAATTCTTGCTGCAAAATTAACATGTCAGCCAAAGTGGTTATACAACTGAAATCTGTGTTTTGAGACTGTTACCAATCCTTTGGTGACAGAATTACTGTAAGAGCAGAAATTCTGCTGTGCACAATCTAATGGGACTACTGGGATTTCTTATTCTGCTCCTTAGGGCATCTTCTACCTTAGGGGCCTACATCTGCAGGACCTTCTGGGTGAGAATTATCCCTGCGGACTGCACACACAGATACACCCCGGGCCTCTCCGTGGAACCCAATGCCTGGAACTAGATTAGCCCCATGCCAAAGGGAGAAATATATATTTTTTTTAAATTTTACTTTTTGATTACAGTTTACATTCTACATTATTTTGTACTAGTTTCATGTGCACAGCATAGTGGTTAGACAATCATATACTTTATGAAGTGGTCCCCGGTATTTCCAGTACCCACCTGGTACTGTACATAGTCATTGCAACATAATTGACTATATCCCCTATGCTGTACTTTACACCCCTTGACTATTTTGTAACTACCAATTTGTACTTCTTTAAAAAAATTTCTTTTTTAAAGATTTTATTTATTTCTAGAGAGAGGGGGAGGGAGGGAGAAAGAGGGAAGAGAAACATCAATGTGTGTTTGCCTTTTGTGAGCCCCCTACTGGGGACCCTGTCTGAAACCCAGGCATGTGACTTGGCTGTGAATCGAACTGGTGACCCTTTGGTTTGCAGGCCAGCATTCAATCCACTGAGCCACACCAGCCAGGGCCCAATTTGCACTTTGTAATCCCTTTTACCAAGCCTCCTAAGCCCTCTCTCTTCTGGCAACCATCAGTCTGGTCTCTGTGTCTCGAAGTCTGTTTCTATTTTGTTTATTCATTTATTTTGTTCATTAGATTCCACATATAAGTGAAATCATATTTGTCTTTATCTGGCTTATTTCACTTAGCATCATACCATCCAGGTCCACCCATGCTATTGCAAATGGTATGACTTCATTTTTTTTTATGGCTGAGTAAAAATATTCCATTGTTTATATGTGTACTATAACTTTTTTATCCACTTGTCTGTTGATGGGCACTGGGGTTGCTTCCATATGGGAGAAGTATGTTTTGAACACCCAATTTCCCGAATACACTCACCCAGCAGACATGGAGGTCACAGAAGAGGAGGTGTAGTGTAATACGTCTATCAGTGGAAGGAAATTAAACCTACATGTAAAAGGTATTTTCATGAAAACAGGGTTGTCTGCATGTAGTTACTTCAGGTTGGCTCAGCATTTGTGCGTCTGCTGAACATCACTCACTCCAGTTTACCATAAAGATGGTTACACTGTCCACAGCTCAGGAGTCGCTGTTGGCTCACTTACCTTGTGTACAAACTGTTCCACTCTGGTCTGAAGCCCCCAGACCTCAAACTTTACGGTCACCAGCTTGTAGGAGCACATGATAGGCTGATGACTGTCTCTCCAGCCTTCCCTTAAATGTCCCCGTCCTGTCTTCTCTGACTTGAAGTGTTTAGGATCCTGGAAAAAATATACCAAAGAAATGGCAACTTAAAAGTTCAACTGTCATTTATATGACATAAGAGAAGTGAATAAGTAAAACTAAGTGAAAAAAGCCATTCAACAAAGGTCACAAGGTATAAATCCATTTATATGAAATATCCAAAATAGGCAAATCCAGGAGAAACAAAGTAGGCTGGTGGCCTAAGGCCAGGGGAAGGGGATGGTAGAGGGAATCTGTTGGGAACTGCCTGGGAACTGTAATCCCCTGTGGCTAAGGCTGAGTAAAGGACCTTGGGACCATAAGCCACTTAGGAAAGCAAAGCTTATCTTCCTTGTAGGGGCACCACCTCTGCCTCCTTTCTCTTCACCCTGCTTGGCCCCAGGCAGGTGGATGACTGGTTAGCCAATGACGGGTAAGATTCCTCAAGGGAGGGACGACCTAAGACAGGCATGGTCATGAAGGAGCTGTCAGGGAAGGACTTGGGGGGGCTATAGAAAAGGGGTGATGGACCCTCACCCCTCAGCTTTGACATAGCCTGAGTCCTCATTCTGTCTGCAAGAACTCTCCTAATCCCTTGGCTGCCTTACTTCCCCTGCCTGACGTAAGCCTGAAACAATGCCTTAAGTCTGAAACAATGCTGGAGGTGGGTGCAGCCCTGTGCTGGAAAGGGTGGGTTCCTTAGGCAATCAGGTCTAAGAAAGAATGCATAAAATCCTATGAAACCTACTTTGCTAATACCCTCAATTTAAATGATAAGGCTCCAAGCAGGAAGTGTTTGTTCCCCAAAGTTTTATGGCCTTTTAACTACCTGACCCTGACTCAGAATAAGCCCTCAGAGTTCTTTGAATGTTATCTATTGTTTCATCATTTCTGTCTGACAATGACTGATGAGCTTTATGTATACACCCTGTATTCCTGTGCAAATTGAACCCAATAAAAGCCTGTCAAGGCAAGGGTCAAGGCACCCTCCCCTTGAGAGAATGGCTGTGCCGTCCCTTTTCCTCCACAGGTAGTCTGTGTGAATTTGTCTCATCTCATCCATAATGCTGTGGACCCCAGGAGCTGGGGTCCATGTCGGGAATGACTGCTATGGGAACAAAGTTTCTTTTGGGGGTGATAAAAATGTTTTAAACTTAGATTTAAGGTGACGGCTCAAAGCCCTACAAGTGTGTTAACATCCATGGAACTGAACACTTTAAAATGGCTGAACTCTATGGTATGTAAATCTTGTATCAATAAAACTGAGAAAAAGACATAACCACAATGAAAAATGCTACATGCCACCGCAGGGGGATTTTTCAGTGTGTTCACTGGCTCTGGGTTTGCTACATAAAGTGATAGAACAGTCATTATCCTAAGCACACATCTACCAAATGCACAGTGTGGGCCCCGTGCGGAACCAGGAGTTACACAGTATGCTCTCTCTCCACCCGACTTCTCTGTCCTGAGGGGCGTGAAAGGGCCTCAGCTGTGTGTATGGTCTGTGTGGGGTTGCAGAGAACTTCCCTCCATGCAGAGAACAGACTCAACTCTACTTGGGTAATCTCTCTTTTTTTTAATTATATTTTCCTGATTATGCTACTGTAGCTGGATGGTGTCTGTTCCCTGTCCTTCCCCCAGGGTCCCTCTTGATTTGCATCAGTTGCAGGAGAATGGTGGGCCCGGGTGTTGACAGGGACCAGAGTGGGAGAGATATATAATTAATGGAATAAGAAACCAACAAAAGAGATTCTAGAAGTGGGGAAAAGAAAACAGGATGCATAGTAAATACTCCAATGCAGTGCTTCTGTGAAGGGAAGGGCTGTTGATCCTGAACGTGGGTGGCATTTTTGATTCTTTGGTATCGACTTGGCCGTGCTGTCTTTTTTATCACCTGAACCAACCCTGAAACTGCCTCTGAAATTATATGCACAGGCCTGGAAAGGTTATGATATTTTCATTACATGGTACATGGAAATGGCACAAGCATAGGGTCTGGCCCACAGCAAGTCTTCCATCAACGTAAACCATGACTGTGCTTCCCCAGATGGTCAGTGAAGACTTTGAGTAACGTGTCCAATCCTACAGTCCAAAGCACCCTGGAGTTTGTAGTAAAAGCTTTGATGTTTAATGCCATGAGACTAATTCTTGCCTGCCCTGTGCTTCTCTACCACATAATACCATTAAGAATAAAAAGAGACAACCAATAAGCCAAGAGATGTATCACCAGGGATATAGTAGATAATCTCCAAAGATGGTCACTGCCAACTCCTTCCCTCGTTTTGCCAGCATGCTCTTCCTCTTACCAAGGGGTGGGGGCTATTTGTCCTCCCCCTGAATCTAGGCTGGCCTTTGACTTGTTTTGACCAATGCAGTGTGGCAGAAGGGACACGGTGTCAGTTCAGGCCACACTAATGTATGTTCCAGACTTCTTAAGAACAAAGTGAGACTCTGTAATACCAAGCGTGGAACACTGGTAGATCACATTTCCAAAGCAGCTACGAACTGTGGGGCCTTGTAGCAAATTTCAGTTCCGAATGAGACTGGAAAGGTACTGTCTGCACAGTGGAAATTATGTAGATGCTTATATCTGTGTGGTTCCTGATTGCACCACAAAATTATAAAACCATAGTAGGCTATTGCGAAGGAAGGTTTTAGAGAAAGGCTAGATGGAAATGAGAAGTGCACTGTATTTTCAAGATGTAGAATAGGACTTTTAAAATCAAAGTGACAATTCAGTTTCATGTCCTCAGTTTTATGGATAAGGGCACTGAAACCCAAGGGGAAGTGAAATATTTTGCCCCAAACCACAGGCGCTTGGTAACAGGTCCGGGACTAGAATTTCGGCTTCTCCTGATTCTAGCCCAATGTTCTTTCCACTACATTTACTTTTAATACGAAACAGGGAGAGGGTGTTTTTTGTTATAGCCAGATGCCAAAGAAGCAATTAACAATTGGGCTTTTTATGGCAACAGTGTGCTGATTCTTTGCAAGTCTGGTGTCATATCTATAGCAGCTGATTTTATCTAGGAAATCTCAGATGGGGCCTATAATTAGGGACTCACTTTCAAAGAGCCAGAGGGAGGGGAGGGAGGACTAGAGGACTCCTTTAATCAAAATCCAAGATCAGAAATGAACTTCCAACTGAATGCCTGTGAATGAAGATGAGGAAACCGAAAATCTAACCCCTGGGTCTTATCTCAAATATTCTGGCCTCAGGCTTTTCTCCTGTTCCCCATTTGGGCCCCCGTCTCCCCCGTCCCTCCCCCCAACCCCCACCCCACAACCTATTCCTCCCAAAATCATTTTCCACTCTCATTTTCTCACTTGATCTTGTGAATATAAATGTCTACACTGTCCATTTACATATCAGTTGACATTTCTTAAAAACTTTGAAATTTTTTTATTTTTAAATTTCTGGTTTGTGTTTCTGCAGCTGTTACAATATTTTGGTCCTGATTTAAACTCTGTTACATCACTCATGTTGTTCTTTACAAAAGAACTGGGTTGTTTTACGTTTTAAACTTTCATGTGCAGGTTTATTTTAAAATGAGGTTTATAAGCCTCCACCTTCATCTCTGATGCTAAAAATTGCCTGGACCTGCCCACATTTTGGTTTTAGGATTTGGCCTATTTTAAAAGGACACAAAGTTTGACTTCAGTGTGATTAAGAGATTACACACCTTGAAACTCCTGGGTCCCAACCCAGTGCAATCAGAAAATACAGTGAAAGTTCTCTGTAGTGGATTACCTGGTGACCCCTCAAAAGGTATGTCCTGGTCCTCACCGCCGGGACCTCTGGATGTGAACTCATCTGGGGAAAAAAGGTCTTTGCAGATGTAATGAGGCTAAAGATCTCGAATGAGATAATCCTAGATTAAGAGGGTGGGCCTTAAATACCATGACAAGTGTCCTGATAAGAAACAGAAATGGAAAAGACACAGAGAAGAGGCCACAGGAAATCCGAGGCAGAGACTGAAGGGCAGCCACAAACCAAGGAACTCCTGGAGCCACCAGGAGCTGGAAGAGGCAGGAAAGAATCCTCCTCTGGAGCCTCACCTTGATGTAGGGCTTCTGGCCCCCAGAACCATGAGAGAAACCCCTGGGGATGAGGAGCGAGGTGAACCCTCACCCCCGTGCTTCTGATATAATTGGCCTTGGTGAGGTTTGGCCATCCAGCTTATTGAAAGTTCCCCATGTGACCTCACGTATGGCCAAGGGTAAGCCACTGCTGTAAGATACAGCATTGCCCCCATGTTCCAGATGAGAACCCTGGACCTCAGCTGATCACTGACTTGTCCACAGTCCTCCAGAATTTAAGCTCAGCGCCGCCTGACTCCCAGACCTGGGCTCCCAAACCTTATACCCCGTGGACAGGATGGTGTCCATTCTAACTCCCTTGTGGGGTTGTTGCCGGGCTTAAATTGGATAATGTGGGCGATGTCTCCAGTCCAACACCTGATAGATGGCGTCTGACAACCCAGAAGACGTGCCAGAGAGATAAGAGCATGTGATACAGAAACATCCTTCAGAGACACTGTAATGTAATTTCCTCAGATCTCATTAAGCTCCTCAAACGAAGGCAGCAGGAACATCCGAAAGTGCTGTAGGGTGATTATTACTTTGTGGTTATCCCCTGGTCCAGTGCACAGAAAAATGCTGACAAGCACCCATGAAAACATGACTGCCAACCACCATGCAGGCGTCCTTGTGTCAGTGAAAGGCTGGTGGGCGCTTGCATTTTCCAGAAGCTGTCACCTGTCCGTGTCCATAAGAACGGTGGTGGCAGAAATACCGAGACAAGGGTTTTTGCTTGTTGGACGTTATGACAGGTCCTGGGCCAAGGACAAGTTGAGCATCTCCAGTCTCAGAACCAACTCCTTTCCATCTCTGTCTTATGTTCCAGTGACAAGTTCCAGGATGATGAAGCAGAGAGCAAAGACATCGCCCTACTGTAGGCTGCTCCCTCAGGGAAGTGATTTTACCGATTCCACGGAGGGTCCGGGACCACACGGTGGCATCTGCAGGAGCCACCTGG